ATAACCTTCATTCTAACAGTGACGTTGTAATTTCAGAGACTGAGGAAGAAACAGAAATGAGGCGAGTGAGATGAGGGAAAGATGAAAATGTGTCCTCAGAGGACGGGGACATGTCAGGATCTGATGATCCAGGATCAACAGGACCAGGAGGATGAATCAACAGGACCAGGAGGATGAATCAACAGGACCAGGAGGATGGATCAACAGGCAGTCAGGGAACAGAGATGAAAAACCTGAGGGAACAATTAGAACACAAAAAAAATACATAAGCAGGACAGAAGAAACTCAGACAAGAAAATTAACTCAGTCCTGCGAAGAAAAATGTTAACAATGGAAAATAAATTGACATATTTTTACAAAAGATCAGATGAAGACAACTGGCATGAAGAACTTCCCAGCTCCATCTCAATGTACCTGTGCTTTGTTACTGTCCTACAGTTTATTGATGCTGATATATTCTTGTAATAATTCTTATTTCTTGTTCTGTCTTGAAAGAGTCTCATCTCAACTTGACCCATGATTACCAAACATTAAACTAATAATATAAAACTAATGTAAATTAACAGTCCTGCAGTGAATACCAACTTTGTGAAGGTTATGGTGTTAAAGTAATCTTATTCAAACATCTTGATTCAGCTGTTATTGATTAATAGAATACAGAAAATGAGATCTTGTACCTTTGTGATACTTTGAATGCAACATTCAGTTCATGAAGTCATTCTCTGGTTTACCTGGAAAACATGAAAAAAATAGACTCATATCCACAATCACGTTTTTCTTTAATGATAATGTCACAATTTATGCTGCAGTCTTTGACAAATGATCTATAACTTTAACTAAATTATGTCAATCTTGTTGTCATCATTCTTTGTTGAAATCAGGTCTCTCTTGTAAATGAGTCCTCGAGGCTCAATGGGATTTACTGTCTAAATAAAGGTTGAATGAATCTCTCAGGAAAAAAGACCAAATATTTTCTAGTTGAGTTCAGTAACTGGAATTACCATAAATTTAAAAAAGACCACCTTTCAAAATGTAAGCAGTAATAGATATTTTAAAACGTTGAATTAGAAATAGACCCGTTTAAACCGTCGTGTTGCAGAGCAGCTGCAGTTAAAACACAACTAGCAATTTAACATGTTTCATTAACTAAAACTGGCGACATGAAGTATTAATGTGGATAAATTGTGGTACAGAACAGTCAGATAACGCTTCACAATGGAGAAAAAGTGTCGTATTTGCATCAACTTACCGGAAAAACACAGAGAATGAACTACGTTCAATGCTGAACCCGCTGCTGTTTGGAACTTTTTGCCACTTCATGACCCACGTGACTTCCGCATTCCATTCTTTCTATGGGAGTCTATGGGAGTGTTGCAACTCTCTCTTTATAGGGCTCTGCACAAGGGGAACTGGGACTTCCACACTCCACCTGCACATGAGTAAACAGTTTTCTGTCCAACAACAGTCAGAGGGTTCAAGTGGGCCATCACACATCCATGGCCCTCAGTTATTGCTAGTATCACTTAGCCCCCTGTAAATAGCAAGCAGCCGTCAGTGTGCTAACGATCCATTGTTAGGCTGATGGTCCTCCTTGATCATGTGAGCAGCTGGTTTTGGCTGTCAGCAGCAAACTGGTTGATCCACTATGAGAAGGTGCTATTTATAAGACCGAGCTGAATACAGCTCCTCAGACTGAAGAAGTCTTTCGGATAAAAGATTAAACGTTTCTACAATTTTTTTCTTTTTGAACCCGTCCAGAGGACCAGACTTAACTTTTTTAAATGCTGCTAATAACATTTACAAAAATAACAAAACATAAAATTCTAGTTAAAATAGACACATTATCAGATCAATAAACTGACAACATTGTAAGATATATTAAATAATCTTGCTTAAGCACTTTCTAAATGTGAGGCATTTCTAATGGCCACATTTTATCCATGGCTGAGTTCAGGCTAGCTGTTAGCTCGTCGTTTTTTCCAATTGCTCTCGCCGAGGTCGGACGCTTTTCCCCTCCTCTCCCTCTCTGCTTTGCTTTGCTGCTCTGCCTTGTCCATGAAATTGCTTCTGGGCCTCTCCTTACATATCTTCTGAAACATAATTATGGACTTGATTTGATCAGTTGGTCCCTCAACACAATTCATAACATTTCTTAGAAGAGACGACAGGCTTTAGGCGAGCTGATTTGCCCTGTTGGCACGCACGCAGCTGGATATCTCATCGACTTGGAAAATTTGATGATGTGTCTGTCTCTGCTGCCATTTTTGGAGCCTTGTTATGGACACATTTTTAATTGGATTTATGATAACTGGTTCCTGCTTTTTGGATTCGGCTGGTTCCTGGTCTATCAACAATCAAGGAAGTCATCAGCAGAAAATTTGGACCCGATCATGCTGCTTGCCTTATGATGGCTTGGTCCGTGTTTTGAGCACCCAGACTCAAATGTTTTTTGCAGAGTGGATCAAATCTCATGGATTTTTCCCAGGCATGGTCCATTGGTGTGGCCACGTAATTTGGACATTTCGGAACCGAGTGGACCAACACAGACTCAAGGTAGATGTCATTAAAGTTCTGCCTGTCCCCAAAACAATTGTATGTTTATCTAAATTTGACTCCCTTGGCTTGCCTTACAGGCCACCTTATCTGAATTCACCTGGAGAACATGTAATCTAACACTCTGTCCCCCCCTCCCATCGAGGAATTCCAACAGATCAACCAGAGGAAACCAGCTGAATAAACATTGTGTCATCATTTCAGGACTCTTTTAGTCCCGAAGGCATTGTCCTTGGCCGTTCCCCGACATCCCTCTAGAATGTTTATGGATCTCACCGGAGGAAACTGGTTGATTATTTCATCCTTGTCAGAACTCCACAGTGCCCTTGAGAGCATCCTTGGACATGCTCACCGCTATCGTCGTCTCTCCCCCCCCCTCCCCCCGCAGAATGTCTATGTCACTATGTACTTCTATGTGCGAGGCATTTTTTCAAAATCAGGTCTTTCTTCTCAGCCAAGAAGAAAGAGTTTGATAGGATTTTTTTGCCTCCAAATTCCTACGTGTCCAGTTTCACTACTTTTTGTCTATCTAAACAGGTCTCACTTGTAAATTAGTCTTCTAGGCTCAGTGTGATTTATCTGTCTAAGTGTAGTGAACTTAACCTGATGTCAAGACTAAGCCTAAGGTCAAAACCCTTGACCTTAAGGACCTTGTGGGACAGGAACTGTCATTTCATTGATTTGAATCCAGAAATACAGGTTCACCCATCCTGAGACTTTCTTTCTTGAAAATTCAAGTGGAAGAACACTCTCTTTTCTATTATCATTACTATTTTACAAATGTTGTTAATCAAAGTGTCTTAGTTCAAACCATTTTAGATGTTGCAGTGAACTAATCGATTTTATTAACTGAAACAGTGTAATGATTTTTAATTCTCATGCAAAGTTAGAATTCATGTTAAAGCTGTTACAGAGTAATTATGCATTTTCTGATTTCTGTCTTTGAATGAGCAAGTGTGCGTTTTCCGAGGTCAGGAGTCGAAGCAGACATGTGTTGGAACAACTGCCTTGTTTTTACATCCTCTCAGACGTCAACAGGGGGGTTTTTGCACCTGTTTCTAAAACTCGCCAAAACAAAACACTCTCTGTCTGTGAGAACAGTTTAATCTGTTCAATAACATTCTTGCTGTCTTCTGACTTTTAGTAACCCTCTTACATCACAAAACACACCCCTGTCTGGTTGTTTTGGACCAATCCGAGACTCCCGAATGAACCGGGAAAAGAGCTCTTTAAAAATGCCGGTACTTCCTAGTTCCCAAAAGAGTTGAGTGGAGTTGAGTTCAGTTCTGTGGGTTTGGAGAAGTTCGGCGGTGCGGACAGTTCTGATATGTCCTAGTGCTGGCAGTTGCTGTGGGAGCCGGGAAGACCCTGACATAACCACAGAGCTCTTCCGAGTTTCATGGGATTATAACATTTTCCACTGAGGTGAGCTTGTGTCGGACAGAATCTCGCCATTACTCCGGACGATTCACAGCCATCCTACGGAGACGCTGAAAGGGTGCGTTAAACGGAATCTCGCCTGAGACATCTCCAAGTAAAAGAGTCGATTTCACCACCTAAGTGTACTGTAAGGAAGAAGCTGAAGAAAGCCCGGAGAGTGCCGTTCTGTTCAACACTCTCCCTCAAACACCATCTTTCACCCCCTTTAAACTTCATCTTTTCATCTTTAAATTCTTCTCTAAAGTAGAAATCCTTCCAGATAATTTAGAAATGTCTGTGTAAAGTGCTCATCCACCGCCGTGTGGATGAAAATCATAATTGTACAGTTTCATAAATGTCTGTGGTGAAGCAACGGAAAATCATGGCCGTATGGTTTTCCTGATTGATTATGTGTTATTTTCATATTGTGCCAAATTAATGTAAATGTTTGATGTTAAACTTTGATTCTATAAATAAATGACCGCATTCATTTTGATGGGTCAAAGATAAATGACGTCTCACGTTTGCATTTCATTAAATTCAATGCACGTTTTATTCAGTCCAGAAAAATGAGGAATCCGTGTTAATTGATGAATATATCTGAGCATCTGTTCATCTACATAAGTTAAGGTTGAATTGAATTGAATTAAAAAATAATCTACAGCAGGCAAGGTATTCGTTGTTCATAGGACATCACATCACGTTGGCTTAACTGTTTTTTATACAGAAGTTGTTTGTGTGTTTATAGACATTTTTTTCCAATGTTGTAAAAGTGCCACCCTGACAAGCTACAGATAAATCTGTAGTTATTATGAAATTATGCTCTCCACAATGTTTTAAAATAAGTTTAATCTTTTTTAACCCACGTTTCTGACTGCATGTTTTCTAGTTTCATTCTGTCTTCAGACTGTTTAATAAGTACATGAATCATGTAGTACTGTGTGTGTGTGTGTGTGTGTGTGTGTGTGTGTGTGTGTGCGCGTGTGTGGGTGTGTCCGTGTGTGTGTGTGTGTGTGTGTGTGTTGTAGGTCTCTGGCTTTGGGAACCTGGAGTGGCTACAAGCTGTTTTCTTTGACCACGGGGGAGAAACTGGACTGCCTCCATGACAGTGGTAAATTTCCTGCTGACTTGGCACATTGTATCAGTTTGAGTTGAACATTAATCCAAATTGAAGGCTGAGATATTTTAAAACCAAACCAGTTTATTGTTTCCGGTCATGGAGCAAAGAGGGGAACTGGAAATACCTTTTGTCTAGCCAGCATTCTTGTGAGCTGGATAATTTTAAAAATAAGTGAGGTACCAAACCCCATTTTGGTGTGTGGCTACATCTGAGTGTAAAACAAGTCATGTCATATACAACCGCAATATATATAAATATATATATATGTATGTATGTATGTATGTTTGTATATATATATATATATATATATATATATATATATATATATATATATATATATATATATATATATACAGGTCCTTCTCAAAAAAATTAGCATATTGTGATAAAGGTCATTATTTTCCATAATGTAATGATAAAAATGAAACTTTCTT